TCCCCCCCTAAAAAAAGAAGAAGAAGAAAAGAAAGAGCAGAAAAAAAAAAGAACTGGCCAGCAAATGGTGTGTGGACAAACACACCAACACTGCCATTCTCTTGACCCTAGAAGGTCACAAAAAAAGTAAATATTAAACATGCAACAAGGGCATTACCCGCACTAAGGACTTTTTCAACTCCCTCTTGGATGTGATTACAGTCAGATACATCCCGGTCCAGGCATAGTTGCAGTCCGATACATCTACGAACCTGCTAGTGTGCCCATGGCCTAGAGTCACAGACAACCTACCAGTATCTAGAAACCACTCCCCCCCCCCCCCCCCCCCCCCCACACACACAAAAAAATAAAAATAAATAAATAAATAAAAAAATAAAAATTAGCAAGCTAGCGACTTCTAAAACCAATCCAGTCCTCGTCCTCACTGCCGACATCCACAGCCCTGAACGCGGCCAGCAACTGACCAAATTTCCCCAAACCATTTTTTTTTTTTTTTTTTTAACTGACCAAATTTCCCCAAATTTCCCCAAACCCTAATTTCAAATTCCAACAATTTGCGCTTCACTAGTCAACACATTGAAAGATTGGAAGTCCATAACCTTCAGGTTTTAAGGTCTAGGGTTTTAGGGAGGACATCCTTACAGATTCGACTCATCTACATTTGCTTACAAGCTAAAACACCACTTAACTGGCGGTTTTTAGGGTCTAGGGTTTACAGCGCACATCCTTTCAGCTTTCAATGTGTTAACTAGTGGCTTGGGGTCTAGGGTTTAGGGCGGACATCCTTACAGATTGGGCTACCGCTTCACCCGACTGGAACGCCAGGTCATTACAGAAGTATCTGGACTGAAAGTGCACCAAATGCGGCTACAAACAATGACCAGGCGTTCTGTTCGGGTGAAGATGGTACTCAACATTTCCTTAAACCACCAGTACAATCTACGAGGCAAACCTCGGCGACAAATTTGTCCCACCAGCAGATACTTTTCGGGGCTCTGCATGTCACGGAAAGAAAAAGAAAGCCTCGCCGGTTCATTTTCGAATTGCCGCGCAGCAGATATCCGGCCAGACGCGAACGAGGCTCCGACATACTCATGGTTTTAAAAAAAAAAATAGAGAAAAAAAAAGAGCCGGTCCAATAACTTCACAGCTGCACGCATTGCCACGCCCCGTCCTCATCTCCCGACATCAGGTATTTCATTTCCCATCTGCCAAGCACCAGAACCTACCCTTTTGTCATGCATATATGATCTTTTTCAAAAACAAAACAAAAAAAAAAAACAGATCACATAGCAAGACAACCTGCTTATTGGGGTATACACCAGTTAACCAAAAGAAAAGAAAAAAAAGAAAAAAAAGAAAAATAGACGACCTGCCTATTATGATGACACACAGCATCTATCCTGTACAACCTGAGAGGACTAATGCAAAAAAAATGGCAATGATACATTATACCCTTGCCATAATTTCCCTCATCTGCAGTCATGTACAGCTTGACTATAGCCATCCACTATAGTCACCAGCTGTAAGCTATCAGCTATTCAGCTATCGGCTAGCTATAGCCTATCAGCTAAATCTATCTCATTCATATACAGCCTGGCCTGAGTCGCCTGACTCTCATTACCCCGACTTGTGCTCCCTTCGTGCGACACTTTTGAGCGCGCCCGTATACACAACAATCCACAAAACTCTCCCCGCCCTCCAAGATGAATAAAGAATAACTCAGTTTACTTCAAACCACCACTAACCTCCGAGCCTCTGGCGGAGAAGAACTGCCCACCAAGTTTTGCTGAAAAGGCAGTGTGAGTCTGGGCCTCGCCACACCTATCCCGAAAACGCAAAAAAGTTCGGGAGCACTCCCGAATGCGGGAGATGTGAAAAAAACTTTCGAGAGGGCTCATCGCCACACTGAGCTCTCCAAGGCAGCAGTCTCCAATTCATCAGACGAGGCCCGACACCGCCACACCACTCTCGAAATGTGCAAAATGAGAATGAACTTCCCGCTAGAACATGGCCAGATGCACCCGCCACATTTTTGTCTTTTTCACATTTCGAGAGTGGTGTGGCGAACCCAGACAAAACAGTAAACAGATGGTTGTCGGCCGAGGCGCACTCTCCAGTTTGGGGCCGAAATCGGAGGAGCCTCGGACCACTCCTCAAATCCGGTGCTTTGCAGGCGGGGCGATCCACAAAGTTCGAGAGCACTCCCCAGAACCGCATTCTGACCTCTCTCCAAATTCTTCCTGACTGCGATTTTCGGGAGTTGGTGTGGCGGATGCCACTTCTCTCCAAATAGCTGTTTTGGAGATAGGTGTGGCGAGGCCCTCTGTGTGACGCTTTTTTTCCGTTTCTCTTCTTTCTTTTTTGCTGGCGCCGCCAGCCATACTGGTCCAGTACCATTGTTCACCCGAAGAATGCAGTTTGAGCCTTCGAAGCAAATTGGTCTTTCAAGTTTGCCTGTGAATCCAGAACCGCAACAGTTTGCCTGAGAAAGGTAGAGGCGGTTTGATGACGTATCGAAAAAAGAACGACGGACAGACAGATATGATGCTGTAATGAGTCTCACCTAGACTTTTTAACAGCGCAAATAGGCTTCCATCACCTTCATGCCCCAGCAGATGACTGATGTATCGGCTCGGTGCAGCCTTGTAATGGCGAAACTCAGGGACCGAAGTCCAAGAAAGCTCAAGAGAGTGTCCCTCCGTCACCGGAACAGCTTTAATTATGATCTGTGCAAAACACAACCACAACCACACGAGTGTGTAAATGCCTTAAAATCAACGGTAAATGCAATCAAGACAAGCCAGGCCAGGTTACCAGGTCGTACGGCCGGCCGCACTGTCATCTAGGCCGCACCATTTTCATCGGTCCGTCAATCAAGACAAGCCAGGCCAGGTTACCAGGTCGTACGGCCGGCCGCACTGTCATCTAGGCCGCACCATTTTCATCGGTCCGTCAACGTTGTCTCCGGCCCAGACGACCCTGGAGGCTGGACCTGTTTGTTTTATGTTTTTTGTTTTTTGTTTTTTATTGAATTGGCTGGATGCAATTGTACAAGCAAAATCCAGACAAGTAACAGAAGTCCAGGCGGGCCGGTTCCCTCCCGGTTGCCCCCAGCACATTTTCGCTGGGGGCTGAATTTTTTTTTTGCCGGCGCGTATGTGTTCCCAAGGCCTCGCGGGGACGGGCCCTGCCCCACAATTTCGAAACCGGGTCCTGTAGGCCCGGATTTTTCAAGTCCAGAAAGTGGCCAATCTTGGCTGCCGATCGTCGCAGATCAGCGGCAAAGATTGGTCAGGACCCCATTTCTTAAGAAAAACGGGCAGAGGATATCCGCCGCTGAACAGCCATGCATTTTTCCTAAGATGTGGGTTGGGTAGGCCCCTTCCCCAATTTGTCATCTTGTGGTCCAATGGACCAGTTACCATTGGCAACATCTGATTTCTTTCACCCTCAGCCACGAGGGGAACACTATGCTTCTGATCAGACTCTGCTGAGATTATATCCTTCTGCGACATCCCTGCCATCTGTGGAAAAAGTTATGGGTTCGGATCTTGGAATCGTGATTTCAGAGCCGTCCGAGGTGCAATCCCAAGAATGGACCTAAGCTATATTCTTCTCTCTATCTATTTGGAATGGACCTTGCTCCACTACATGCATCCGGACAGACTGCCAGGCAAGATACTTCCGGACTGACAACTCACCTTATGTAGAAA